TTCCCCATTTCCTTACAAACTCAGTCTACTCTGGAAGTAACTGCAACCCGTGGTGTGATCAATTATTTACCCAATCAGGGAAATACATCCTAGTGCTACTTTACATCCTAAAGAGTACTGACATTTAAAAAAAAAGAAGAAGAGAAAAAGAACACAAACAATACTCAGAGCATTAAGTTGAGGTTTTATTTGGTTTTACTTGACCGAGGTAAAATCTGGCCCTGCTGAAGTCACTGGGACCAGGTTTTCACTCCTGATAGTACGGAAAACTTTAAGGGGAAATATAATGGCATATTAACTGTTTTCCAGAAGGTGGCCTGTGCTGATGCACAAAGTCTTGTTTGCCCATATAGTTTTTGCACACTGCCACCTGTGCAAACAAATGATACCATAAAAAACACACCACTGCTTCCCTGCACAAATGGAGTATGCATGGGATTTGCATGTGCAAATTCCTTCATTTTGTGATAACGCACAAAAATGAAGCATTCCGGTGATTTCCACGCACTCAGTGGAGGATGGATTGAATTGCCTTTGAAAATATGGCCCACAATGTTTCCATAACTTCATTAGATCCAGCTTGTCTTGTCTGTCATGTTCTGTGGGCGATCGTTCATTGGACTACCCTTCTAGCACACAAGTAACAATCTAGAAGCCTCTTTGAACAATTGGCTCATCAACAATTTCTGCCAGGCCAGTCAACTAACATCAGTTGTGTAGCCTTCTACTTCGCATTTGATCCGATGGTGTTTGGCCACTCCTTTAATTTTAGGCAGTGCTAGTCTGCAAAACCTACTTCAGTGTTTCAATCACCCTCCCTAGTGTGATGAAAAGAAAATACAAAGTCAAATCATGCACCCATAGCCCAGCAAGCAGGCAACAGTAGATGACAACTTAGAACTTTGTGCAGGAGAAGGCTGCCTCTGTCCTCAGCTTCCTTTTAGAAAACAAGTGGTTTGCTTCTTGGTGGTTTCAAAGTGTCAGAGGTTCTTAGTTTCTGTTGGTTGCATTCTTCCTGAATGGCCACTACTGGGCAAAGAACCCAGCAGTCTGGGTTTCTTCTTGGAGATATAGAAACCTAATTTACATGTCAATTTCAGATAAGGAATTATACTGCAGAACGAATGGTAATATGGGTGCCGATTTTCAAAAAACGCGTATGTGAAATTGTGCATGGAAAATAGGTGCTCCGTAGAGAAAATCACGCATGCAGATGGTCAGTCAGACACACGACTCCAGCTGGAATTGAATTAACCATTTTTTGAAGATACACAAGCAGGAATAGAATCCAGCTTCCTCTGCTGCACCTGGACAGGTCTGTAGGGCTGACAGGTGAAATAAGGCATAAAAACATATAATGGTCAGTTGAGCTAGCCGATCTGACCCCGATTATACCCGAGGAGCAGATCCATTAAGCAAGAACTTGGACATAGTCACTTTTGAGTGTAGAACAGCACTCTGAACAAACCAATTCTGGAATTTCTGGAGCTTCAGATGTCCCTTAATGCGATACAGCGGGGCAGGACTTCAGCATCTGTAGACAATCACCACATCTCATTACCAGGAGTCACGATCCTGTTGTCTCCTACAACTATGCACACTGAGGCCCCTGACCAGCCGAGTTAGACTTGTGTCACCAAGCCTGCTGTAATCCTCGGACATGGCTCTGTGGCCAGGGACGGCATAGAGCTTGGGCTGTTCCTTTCCTGAATGCAAGATGAGTCTCTTGACTGCATGTAAGAAAACACCTTTGGGAAATGGGGAGAGGCTGGGGCAGAGAAATGTTGTACATCAAATCTGATGGGAGAAGAAAATGGCTTAACTGGTTCTGAAAGACCAGGTAGCATTCGAGGCCTGTTACAGATCTGCTTGCTTGATGTATGTGAACAGTAGCTGCAAGGAGGGGGAAATGAACAATAAATTATCAGCGGGATGAAGTTCTGTTTAACAATTTACTGCTCTGAGTTATTATTTCACTCAGGGAGTAAAGTGCTAGCTGCTTTCATCTGACCATCTCTCACTCTGAATGGATATTCCCCTGGTTTCCTTTATGTGCAGCATTTGTGGTATTTGTTTCCTTAAAGAAACAAATACCATGATGAATAAGTCAACACTGTGCAGACTGCACTGATATAAGTGCTGTTTCACTAGCGGAAGTTACACCATTATCATCAGCGTGAGCACTACATAGATAGCATTTAAACGTGCTTTCACCTTGCATCAGTATAAGTGATGCACCGGCATAAGTGCATGGGAGTTGCACTGCCATAATAGAACACAAAATCACCTCACAAACCTTTGCATCTTCTTCTTGCCCTTGGATGTGATGGTGGCAGGGGACAAGAATTACACCTACTGGTGTTCTGCCCATCACCTCCATAATTGGGGCTGTGAATCTATATCATTTGTCCACCTGCAAAGAAATGAACCCACGCCAGTTTTTTATTGGAGCCTTGGAACTTGGTTTCAGAACCAAGACTTTGCTAATGGACCAGAGGAGATACAAGATGAAGCTGGTTTCTGACAAGGGTTGCAGCACCAGAACAGGATGGACTGTCAGTGTGTCTCACGGGGATGTTGGTAAAAGAGAGACACCTGATGAGCAGGTTGCTGGTTCAAGAAGATTCGTTCTTTGCTGCTGTTTCCCTGTTTCCTGGGAGCGTGGTGGAGCTTAAGTCCCTCTCTGATAGAACTGCTTGCAGGATGCTTTCTGATCAGTTTTGTCGTCCTTGCAAATTCTCCCACATGAGATGGTTGTACAAGAGGATGGACAACCTGCCTGCACCCCAACCTACCAGTTGGCACCGCTTGCCTCACTCTTAGACCATGCTGTGGTGATGGAATTGGAAGAACTGGAGGATAGAACCACTGGGGTTGCCTGCTGTGGATGTAGACCCTAAAGCATGCTGTCAGTCTCGCAGCTGTCTTCCCTCTCCTCTGCTGCAGCACGGGTGGTGGCCCCATGGTAGCACAAAGCACAGATGTTTCTTCCATCCTAGTGATTGATTATTTTCAAGTGCCTTCTTAGAGCAGATGTTCCCATGTGGCTTCCCTGCCTCTCAGTACTGACACCTTTCCTACACAAGCAGACGATTGTGCTGCTGCTGCTGCCTTTTTGATCAAGATAGCAATGTCATTGGTGTGCGCTTTTCTTTCTCTAACAGAGTACTTGTCCTTATTAATGGTGCCTGGGACCTTTTACCAGCCGGAACATCCTTCTCTTTGGCGCTGCTGCCACAGTGACTGATTTCAGAGGTGGGGACTTTGTGCCAGTTTCGTTTAGGAATGCCAGCTGTTTCCTTTTACTCCCCTGCGGTGTTTTGAAACCTATTGGGCTCTGCTGCTAGGTTGCTCGCCTAGAGTTCTCGACCAAGAATCGCTCCTTCATTCCCACCCCCTGGATCAAACGAATTTCCTGTGTGGTGTGGAGAACCTCCTGACGGATCGTCTGCCAAGATCAGCCGCTCTGCATGGAAGGCTGGTGTTTTACATTTCCAGCCACAGTCAACATAGGCCCTGCTCGGCAGCCACCTACCCTTTGCTTGCCCCTGTGCCAGCACCATGGGAGGTAGCACTGGTACACTGCACTCTGGTTACTTCTGAATTGGAGGCGATGAAACCGTAAGTGGCTTCCATCTGGCTTTGGCAGCCAAAGGAGCACGGTGCAGAGCCGGGGCGCGGGAGCACA